TTTCAGCTTCTTGAACTTGATTGACCATGTGGGGTTTGGACCTGAAATCCTGTAGCTTCCTGGCCCTTGCTGGCCCTCACCTGGAAACTATCTTGGGAGTGGCCTCCTCACATCTGGGACAGGGAATAGGCAGCTGTCCTGTGCCTGGGGCTGAACTGAGACCAAGTTTTGAGGACTACAGAGAGGAGGACTGCTTTTGCCTCCTCAACCCTTCCCTTTCCACATCACTCACCCCTACAGCACCACCCTGCGTACCTCCACTTACCCCCAAAACCACACCCGCAGGCCTTTGGGGTACATTGGGGTCTCTTTTTTGTCAGGGCACCACTAGGTGGCGCTGAATGCTTGCTCGTCAGCTGCCCAAGTTTCTCTCTGAGTCTGAGGAACTGGGCTGCTAGGGTAGGTCTAAGGAGGGGTTTTCACCCTGCCTCCCGCAAGTCTTACCTTCAGGGCTAGGACCCTAGAAAGCTCAGGATTCGGACTCAGTCTGCTGATCTGGCTGGGAGTAGACACATTGACACATAGAGGGATATGGGCCAAGCCAGGAGCAGAGATGACCAGTCAGTGAGCTGGGAGATTGTGGGCCTTCATGTAGAGTGTACGGCGTGGGTGTGTGTTCAGGGGGCAGGTGGCTGAGGGTGTAAGAGACGAACGCGCACGGGATACACTGGTAGGAGGCTGAATTGGAGCAGGAAGAATCACGTCAACAACAGTCACTTGAGCTCCAATCTGCCCCGGCCCCAAGGCCATCCTGCTGTTAGTATATGCACATGACCTGATAGACTTTGGGATGCTGGGTGTGAGTGTGGGTGCCCACCCAGTGCCCCTTTGCACTCCACTTAAATCACATACCTCCCCTCAACATGTCTTGAGAGCACCCTGCAGAGCTAGCCCCCGGAAGGCAGAGAGAGGAAGGGGAAAGTGGCCCTGCTCCTGCCTCCTAGTTCTTCATCTTGGTATGGTGGATCTCACACTCAGTTCCCTTTGTCAGAGCTGGACTCTCCCGGGGCAATCCCAGAGCAAGCAGGGTGCATCCAGCCTGTACCCTGAACCCATCAGGAAGGCAGTCTGCATTTGAGCGCTGTCTCTATCCTCTGCCCCCTCTTTGTGGGGGGAGGATAGCTAGGCCAGGGCTCCAGCTCAGGTACTTGGGCAGCCTATTAGGGTTCTGGTTTTTGTTTTGTTTTGTTATACTAAGAACAATTTTAAGGCCAGGGGCAGGAAAGGACACGCTTAATAAAGCAGCTCCTGGCCTCACTCACCGTGACTGCTCCTCTGTGTGTAAGGTGGGCTGGAGGAAAGAAGGCATCACTGGCCAGTGGCAAATCGCTACCTGGGTACCTGAGAGTGAGGGTGGTAGGGACCAGGCATGGAGCCAAGCAGAGCCCGAGGCCAGCAGAGGGCAGGGCTGAGTCGGGGCTGGCACTGGCTCTTGCCTTCTTGGGTCTTGGCCTGTATCTGTGTCTGAGCCTTAACACCTCCTGTCTCTTCACATCAGCCTTCGGCTCTCCAGCCTTGGCCCTTCTTACTCAGGCTCCCTGAGCTTCACCTGGGGACCCTGGTATGTAGCTGAGGCTGGATGATGAGCCGCTAGAACCACACCAAAGAGAAAAGCTAGGGTTCGTTCCCCAACCTCAGAGACCTTTGCATATTCCGTGCTTCCAGGAGAGCCACAAACAGCACAGACACAGCAGGGGACTGTTGCTTTATTAGGTGCCACTTCAGGTGATAAGGAGTTTGGGAGGCATAGGACACCTGGCAAATGGGCCTCTCACACCTGCACCTCTGTCTTCTGGGCCCAGGCAAAGAAGATGCCTTTGACATCATCTACACCCGTGCGCAGGTGGGCAGGCATGTTGTAGGTGCGAAGGTCTCGGACCTCATAACCACCAAGGACCAGGGCCTCCCTCACCTCCTCCTCCGACACTGGCACTACAGATAGCCTGGCCTCCCCAGCAAGGTACCACGACTCCTCCAGGGCCCCGATGAGGAGGAGATGACCCCCGGGCCTCAGCAGCGTTGTGATGTGATGCAGAGCCTGCTGGAAGCTAGCAAGATCTGGACTCACAGCCTCCAAGCAGAAGGCAGAGACCAAAGCATCAGCAGGCAGGGGTGCCGGGCTCGAGGCTCCCAGGGGCTGGGCCTTGTGCACGTCAATGGGCAAGACTCGCTTCACCCTCGCTCGAAGCTGGCGCTCTTTCTCCTGCCAGGACTCACTGAACAGGAGGCACACGGCGGGGCTCAGGACTACCCCAGAGGCTCAGCCCTCTGCAGCCCTCCACCACCCACCACTCCACCCACCCACCACTCCACATGAAGCTCCCAGCCCAGCTCTCACCCCTTGTCCTCGATGAGGCAGGCATGCTGGCTATACACACTCCAGTCAAAGGCTCCTGGCTCTTCTCGCAGCCAGAGTCCCAGCTCCCGCCGGTTGACCTCCAAGAAGTCTGTCATGGTGATGTCCTCGAAGTGGTCACAGGCGCTGAGCAGCTGGTATATGGTGGGTCCTGAGCCAATGTCAATGAGGACCCGTCCAGACACCTCACCTGGTGGAGCAGAGGAGGTGATAACAGGTGGCTCCTGCCTCAGCCACCCGGCCCCTCCCTCTCCCACTCTCCGCAACTCTTCTTCCGGGTAGTGTCTGGAGCAAGTGCTGGGCTGACACAGGGGTCATACAGGCTGTGCTGGGGCCATCCTGGGCTACCTAGTTGCAGAAAAGCTTGGCTCCTCTGACTCGCAGGTTCCACCACTCAGAAACAAGCTCCTGTTATGACTTAGTGGGACAAATCCCGGAGCATCGAGCCTCTCCAGCCCCCCATCCCCTTCACCTGGCCCCATCTGTCTCTCAATCTTAAGCATCCTCCCCTCGAAAGAAGAGGACTCTAAATTGTCTAGTCAGTCTTCCAATTCCGGGCCTCAAGTGGTCTTCCAAGCCTCAGTGTCCCTAGTAGCTAGGACGATAGCCTCACTCCTGTTTGTGGCTGCTAGACACCTATAGTTCTGCTTCTTGGTCCCCACAATTTAGTCCACTCGCTTGTTTCTCTCTCTCCCTTTCATTTCCCCATGACTTCTGCACTCTCATGCCTTAGTGCCTCAGTTTCCGGTGCTCACCGGTGGCAAAGACTTGTGCCATGCAGCGCAGCTTCCAAGGCCCGACACCATCAGGGTTGCTCAGGTCCCCACGAGGAGGTGCATAGTTGTTGAGGAGGTAGGCGCGGGGCTCGAACCGCTGGTAAGCCAAGGCGACAGCCGCCTGGCCAGGGTCGGAGTCAGGGTCCATTCCTGCAGCGTGCTTCAGGTCTGAGCCACCGTTCATGCTTCTCTTGGGGCCTCCTATGCCCGCTAATCTCCCCATCCCTTTATCTACTACTGCCCCCTCCCCCCGCCATCGCCCAGACCCCTCCGTCACAGGGGTGGGTGGCTGCTGAGGGATGAGGCGCCCGAGGCCACCACATCTCTGTCACCCCATCCATCTCAGTTAGTGTCTGAGCAACAGACGCGTGGAGGCGTGGGGGGGGGGCGGCCTTTAGAAAGTCGCTCCTGCCCCACCCTTGCTTTACACTTGCTCGACAAACCTCCACCCTTAGCGGCCCCTGATCGCTCCAGTGCTGCCCTGCACCCCCAGCCTCATTTCCAGCCGCATCCCGGCTTCTCTCCAGCCTCCCGTAGACATTTTGCCCGGCATCCCATCCCTTCTCTTTCCCAAGGTCTGAATTAGCCTGTATTCCCGGTCCCAGCATCCTTTCCCCAGGCCTCCTTCCCTCTCTCGGGGCACCCTTACAAACTCCCCGTCTTTATAATGCCATCCCTACCTCCAGACCTCTATCCCATCTCTATCCTGCAGTACCCCTTCCTTCCGCCAGAAAGGACACTCTGTTCTAGCCTCTGTCTTGGGGACCCTGGGTCCTGAACAGGTCTCTGCCCTGAGCATCCGATGGCAGCAGAGATTAGAGGGTGAACAGGGCTAATGCTTTTAGCAAACAGAACATCTGGGAATCCCCTGCGGGCCCCTGGGGCTATGTGCTGCTTATCTGGGGACCAGCAAGCATGGTTAGTTCAGGATGTTCCTACCAGGTCGGGGACACCGGACTCAGGTAAGAACAAAGAGTGCAGAGTACATTTTTGGTACTGCCACAGGTGGGAGAGGGGCAGCGCATGCGCACTTTTGGCATTTTGCTGGTACTGTTTCACAGGTACAGGACCCTGCCTCTCCTCCCACCCCCTACCCTTCAGTTAACAATCCTGTCCCCACTGGGGAGTTGGAAGGGCCTGGCCTTCAGGTCTTGCTTGGTGCTTCAGGTGCCTGCCACATAACCTGCTTGTCTTCCTTCCCGTGTGCTCAAAGTGGCAAACTACTCTGGCAACAGCATTGCCAATCTTCCTGAAGCAGAAACCCTTTGAGTACTATGCCTTTCTTGGGTGGGTGGGTTACCAGCCTCTGCTAAGACAGACCTGGTCTTCTATTCAGCCCTCCTCTGTGCCCCTTCTTATCCCAAAGGCCAGACACTCAGGCAGGGACAGGAATCATCATGACAGCTGCAGAGGTCACAGACAGGAACTTAAACCCTGTCCTCCTACCCAGGCCAGGGACAGTGGGACACCTGATGCCAGCCAAGGATTGAGTCCGTCTGGATCTACAACTGACAGGCCTTAGGGTCACTGACCCCATCCACACCCCCAAGGCACAGCCAAGGACAGCCCTGGTGCCAACCCCTTCCATAACCTCCAGATATCATTTAAACAAACCCTGATGCCAGCTGGCCTGCTGGACACTCTGCAGCGCCAGGAACTGGACATGGAAAGCCAGGACTGGGCAGTGGCACAGGAAAGGGGACCAGACAGTCACCCTGTTTACAGCTCTGCCCCTGAACCCCACCCATGAGCATGGAGTGTACCCTCTGGTTATGTCATATTTAGCTCAAATGCTTGGCTGTTCCCAGAAGCGCATGGGGGACATTCATGCCCACACACCCCCAACCACAAAGAAAGAAAGAAAGAAGCCTGGGACATGGCTGAGCATTTATTGCAGTGCTAAGAGAGGGAGCTGAGGGCCTGCCCGGCTTCACATCCCCTCTTCACATCCCCTCCTTCCAGTCTCCAAGCCACCTTCCCAGAACCATCCACATCCTTCTACTCCAGCTCTGTCACTGAACAGGCCATTTCTAGGGGCCTCTCACTCTCGCTCTCCCCAGTATCTCTTGTCCCTTCTTCTGGGGCTGAGCGTGCTCAGCTCTTCACCCCTAGTGCCCACATCCTCGCTCCCCTCCCTGTGGGAACTCAGGACACCTAGGCATCCTGGCCTCTGGCTCCCTCCTCCCATAGCCCCCACCTCTGGGCAAACTACAAAGCAGCCATGGCCAGCAGTTCTCCTCCATCGTCCTAGCCAGGAAGTGCCCAGCCCAAGACAGACACAGTGGAGCCCGAGTCACAGTCCCCTCTCAGCCTCTCTGAGCTTCCTGAGACATGGATCGAGACAGGGTACGCCGCAGGGGCCCAGGTTTGCTGACTGGCACCACAGGGGGGAGCTGCTTGGTGATTTCGGCCACGTCCTGGCGCTCCGCGCACTGGCCGCCCAGGGCTGTCTCCAGGGCCAGCAGCTCCCGCAACTGGATGGGGATCTCCTCGCGTTCCTCTTTGGCGGCTCCCACCTTGGTGGGGGTGAAGATGGGTAGGGGCAGCACCCGCTGGTACGGCAGCTGGTATTCCTGCAGCCCACGGCCGAGGATACCCAGGCGCATCACCAGCCAGGGCGAGCGCTGTACCACAGCCTGACACTGTCCCTGCCGATGGTAGGTCTCATGCCTCTGTGTATCCTCCTCATGCAGGGAGCATCTGAAAGTGGAAAGGAGACAAAGACAGTGAACTGAGAGCAACTGTTCTCTGGTCTTGAGCTAAGTGGGGTCTCCCTGGGATGGCCAGACCCCTGAAGCAGGGGAGGGGCCCCAGAAACTTCAGGGGCTTGCACTCTGATATGCAGCAGGTGTTTTGGGGGAGCAAGGCAGAACTTCCAGATGATCCACACTCACCCCTCTTCCGGCCGGGTAGACAGAGTCAGGTCTTTCCACTCAGCCCAGAAGGCTTCCCTGCGTTCCTGGTTCTCCTCAGACACTCGGCAGCTCAGCTCTGAAGTGGCCATGATTCTTTCTTGCTCCCTCTGCTATGCCCTGCTCCTCCAGAGCCCTTTAAATAGACCCCTTCTCCCCCACCCTCCTCCAGGGGCTATTTTCAGCCCCTCTGGCGTCAGATGCTATAAGCAGAGCCAAGACTCACCGGTGGTGGTGGGGCTCTGAGTCCAGGGCGGGGGTTGGTTGGGGGTACCCAGATTCTGGCTGCTTCCAGGTCAGGAGTTGGCTTCCAAAGCCTTCAAGATGCTCTGTCGGGGGTCTGGGTCCTCCGAGTAACACCTCGTGGTGTCTGGCATGCTGCAAACACCACCACAGACCAGGCACATGGCCAGCCCCGTGCCACCTTGGCACTGTCTTCTGCCTGCTCCCCCTTGTCCAGGGAGGACAGCAGCTTGTCTGTAAACAGAACAAGAGAAGCAGGAACTAATGCCCCCCTCACTCTGCCCCACGGTTGCCAGATTGTCTCCCCTTCCTGGGCTCAAGGGCACATACCATAGTGAGGTCCCTTGACCAGAAGTGTCACGTAACTGAGTCTTCAGGGCGCCTGTACAGAAAGCCTAGTTCCTAACCAGCAAATACCACCAGGGGAGACGATATTTCTGCCACACCCGATCCCTGGGTGAGTCTCAGTGTGCTTTCATTCCCCAGGGCCAATCATTAGAGAAGGGGTCTCCTAAATACCACCAGTTAGGATGAAGGAGGTAAGAGAGAGATGGCACCCCCTCCCAGCTGCCTGCATGGGGAGAAACACAGTGAGGCAGAAACAGACAGTCCACTGAGCAGGGTTAGGAGACCCAGACCAGCCTCAAACTGGCTATAGTTTATATAACCATGGAGCAGGCCCTGTCTCTTTCCAAGTCTCCCTTTCTCTGCTTTTCTGGCCACAGTGGAATGAACTCTGGGACTGGGCAGCTCCTGTGAGGGATATCTCTCTGTCTCTTGCCCTGTGAGGGATATCTCTCTGTCTCTGTCTCTCTCTCAGAGGAAACAGATGTCATGAGATCACCTAAGCACCCAGGGTATAATTCATGGTACAAGAAGCTGGTGGATGAGGAGGTGAAACCGGGAAAGGGGGCAGGGGCGGGGCAGGGACGAGGAACAAGTGAGCAAAGGCCCTGGAAGCAGCAGACAGCCGAGTGCGCTCAGCTCCTATCAGACTCAGAATGGTGCAACCCTGAGGCCTTGGCCCACGTTGTACAGCATTCACGTCACAACACTACAGGCCTGGTCCCCTTTCTTGACAAAACAGGAAATGGAGGCTCAAGGAAGGGCTGCCCAGGGTCTTGTACTTAGCCAGGACCAAGAAAAATCCAGCTGGCTCCAAGCTAAGTTTCCTTCAGAAGCCTCTATGGAGGGAGGGGAGGACAGAGAGGGGACCTGACTGGCCCTGGAACCCAGGTTTCAAGTTACTTCCACTGTGAGGACTGTTGGAGCACAGGGCCAAGGTGAACCATGTAGACTCAGGGTCCGTGTCTGGGGTGCCACAGGTACCTCAGTAACCCTGAAGCCCAGGTGCCACCTTCAGGCCTGCTGTGGTTCAGTAGACATCTTCCCAACCTCCAGCACTGAGCTGCACGCAGACCTGAGCCTGTGACCTATCAGTAGAACCTTTCAGGAAAGGGGAACCTAGAAACTGCTCACCCTGGGTGCTAGTGACAGGCTGGATGCTGTCAAGGGCTACCAGGCTTAGCTTTGCAGTGAAGATCACACCAAGGCCTCACAGCAAGCAAAGGTTTTTTTTTGTTTTGCTTTGTTGTTTTTTTTTTTTTTTCAGGACAAGGTTTCTCTGTGTAGCCCTGGCTGTCCTGGAACTCACTCTGTAGATCAGGCTGCCCTCGAACTCAGAAATCCGCCTGCCTCTGCCTCCCAAGTGCTGGGATTAAAGGTGTGCACCACCACCGCCTGGCAACAAAGCTTTTTCTTTGTTTGAATGAATTTTAATTTGTGAGTAGACAGGTCTACCTGAGCAGTCCTAGAGAGTCTTAGAGATTACTATACAGACCAAGCCAGCCTCAAACTCAAAGATGCCTTTGCCTCCCATGGACTGGGATTAAAGAAATGTACCACCACACCCTGCATTTTTATTTTTTATTTCAGGTTTTTAATTGGCTCAAATCATTACGAAGGTCCCCAGGAAGGCCCCAGTAGAGTGTAAGGGCGTGGAGAGGCCGGAATGCAGTGCCGTCCTCTGCCTTACGTCCCCACGATGTGTGTGGACTAGGGTCTCAGACCCCTTCACTAATGGTACAAAACTTAAGAGAGCTTCCTCACCTTCACGCTGGCAACAGGATGCTCTCCTGCCCCACCCAAGCCCAGGTCCTCTGTGACCAAGTCTAAGGCATGGGGGGCAGTCTCCTTCTCCAGAAGGCAGAAACTTTACGTCAGTATAGGCACGACAGTCCTGGCTCCTTCAGTCTGGGAAACCCCGAGTCCAGGTACTCAACCCCACAACTGCTTCGGACCCTGTTCCTGGGCAGTATGGCTTAGTGGAGGACTATAGCCAGGGAATGAGGTGCCACCTGCTGCGTAGCACAAAGTCCTTCATGAGCGGCAGGAAACCCAAATAGCTCCACTTTCTGGCTCCGGAGGCTGTGGACAGAACCCTGGCCCGCAGGGTAGCGAGGGGACTCGGTCAAGCTCGGGCCCCCAGCTCTCCAACACGCTGCCGCAGGTGAAAGGCAAATTCAAACATGGTGGCCCCAAGGCTCTGGTGGATAAGGTACCGAGGCAGGCGGCCCTGGGGAAGGCAGAGAAAGTTACCTCACAGTTCGCCTTCAGCAGGGTCTCTCAACAGCCCGCATTAGTAGGGGTACCCTGGGCCAGGGGCAGATGCAGTTCTGGAATCTGCCTGGGCCCCCCTCTCCCCTTGTTCCTGGAAGGAGGAACATGTTGTACCCAGGTCTTGGCACTAGCCACATAAACAGACACAGGTAGGGGTGGGCCGGCAGCCAGCCATCCCTCCTGGGGCCTTAGGAATCAGGAGTGAAAGAGGAGGTCACGTGTCTCCCACAATTCAAAGCTAGAAGGCGACCTGGACCTGGCCATCAATCCAGTACAGGAACTGGAACTGGAACTGGAACTGGGGGTCCCTGAGTAAGGCAGAGAGGAGCCACTCCCACACAGCAGCCAGACTGCATTCCATAGCCATGCTGCTCCCTGCTGCGGCCTCACCTTGAGATCTGTGTTAAGAATCCAGATGAAGGTGCAGACCCGGGGGTTGCTGGCTGACTTGAGCACAATGAAGCCTCCGGGGCCATTCTCTCCCCTAAGGAGAGGAATACACAGGGAAGGGCTGCTGAACAAAGCAAGTGCCCGGCTGTCCTCGCCTCCATCCTTGGCCCAGCTGGACTATAGTGAAAGGGACAGTCTAGGAACTACTTCCCTGCCTCAATCTGGCCCAGAGCCGGTGCCAGGGGCAGCAGGACCTGCCCTCTGCCCCCACTCACCCTGTCTACCCCAGCCAGCAGGGAGTTCACCACCAATCAGCCCCTCTCTGCTCAGTACAGACATGTCCAGTAAGCTGTAACTGGGAGACAGGGGCCTAGGCTGGCACTTCCCATCACCCCCATCCAGCATCATGGCCTCCAGAAGAGGGCGTCTTTTCAGGAGGCAGCTGGCCCACAGGCTACTGTTCACCTCCCATGGCCTTTTTGCTGAGCACACTTAAGCCACAGATAAAGAAGTGACACAGAGGACACAGCCTGCCAATCCCCTAGCAAGGCCAGGTCACTGCTGCAAGGCAGAGAGAGCCCTAATCTCAACTCCTTGAAAAGTCCTCACCTCCTGAGGACGTAAGATCTACCTGGCACCCCGGCACTGCGGTCTGGATGAGCCAGGAGGGAATGCTAGGGTACCCTCCCACATTCCACAAGCAAGAGAACGTAAACTCCACTCCCCTCCATCCACACAGACAGGGCAGTGAGAACGGGAAGGGGAAGGTGAGCTCAGAACCCAGCGCCATCCACTCCTCAGCCCGTTCCTGGGACTATCCCAGCCAGCCAGCCGCCCACTCCACACACCCCCTCTAGCTTCGGGGTGGTGGCACAGTGGCAGGCAGAAGATTAGCAGGGTTAGGCTAGAATGGACAGGGCCTGGTAAGCAGGGACTAGAACACGGCTTCAGCCTCGGTGTGGTGGGCCAGAGGAGAGTTGTCCAGCTATACACTGTACCCCGAGTTGTTTACAGCTTAAGGCAGGCCAGACTCACCTGACGTATTTGTGCGTGGGGGGCTTGGAGCAGTGTGTGGTGGCAATGCCAGATGAAAGGTATCGGTCCCTGCGCCGCTCAATACGTCGGACATTCACGAAGTCCCTGGGGGTAAGGCAGGTTAGCACAGAGGTCCTGAGTGCGGGGGGGGGGGCCCCCGGGGGGGTTGGCTGAGAGGAGAGGACCTGGGTGCTCACCTGGGGGACACAACGCCACCTGCGGCTCCGGATGACACATCATAGGAGACAAGGGTGTTGTCCTCCACCCTCTGTAGGATCTAAAGGCCAACCAGGGAGCTCTGAGGTACAGGGGGAGCCCTACATTGCCCCAGCACCTCAGAACTCCGGACTAGCCTCCCAGCTGGGGACACTGTACTAAGAGCCACTGCTACCTGCAGGCCCAGAGCTGGGTACAAGGTAAGCACACTGAGCCTTCTTGCCTCTTGGGGCAACCACAGCAGCACCTACTTCATAAGTAGACGCTAGAGATGCTAGCTAGCCTCTGGAGGAAAATGCGTACAAGAAGGTATGACTGTGCCCTGGTCCATGTGGGAAGAGATGGCAGGCAGGACCTGGGTGGCTCACCTGGCAGGCAGTCACCGTCTTGTTCCATAGCACCATCCTCTCGGGCTGCAGGATCACTTCCTGGTACACCAGCTCAGCAGGACAAGGCAGGAAGGTCTGCAGGAGGGGGTCACGGGTGAGTGATGCCAGAAAAGCAACCTCCTCTGGTCGGGAGACTTAACAGGAGCACTTCAGACAGAGCAGGTGTCTCTGGGACCCCTTCCTTACTCACCTTCAAGATGAAGGTCTTGCCATGGAAGGGAACTTCAATGGTGTACACAGTGTCCCCGTACTCCTGTGGCAAGGACAGAGAGTGACAGGGAGGAGGGTGGAGGGCACCAGTGAGTAAGGGGGACTTTGGGCCCAGGAACAGGTGACAGGCAAGGTAGGTTTCCAGCAGCTTAGTGAAAGCTCCAGAGTCTAGGGACATCTTAGCAGCTCTTAGAACAAGGTTGTTCCGGCAGGCAAGAGCACGTGCAGAGACCCGCGCTGCGCTCACGTTGAAAGGCAGGAGCTCAGCTGTGACTGCAACCAGGAGAAACCAGAAGCACAGCTCCAAGCTGCCAAGGGCTGCCAGAGGAACTGGCCAGCAGGAC